GTTCTAGAGCTTTGTGTCTTTTATCTACCTCTTTGAGTTGAAGGGTACGGTATATATTTAGAACGATAAACCCTACAATACCAACGATAACGATAGATGCCACGCGGGCTGACTCGGATCGACGCGTACCTCAACTCAAACTTGGGTAATTAAACCGTTTACTAAAGGTAAACAAACAATAAACAAATAACGCAACATGTCTCTAAAACTACATAACAATAGATTGTGGAATGCCAAAATGGTAAGGACACAGAGGAATAATGATCACACAAAATATGTATGCGATCAAAATGATTTAATGATATTTGTCATTTTCTTCAAAATACTTGGTTTTAGATTGTTTTAGATTTTCTGGTTTTTCTTGCAAAATCTATAGAGAACTAAATGCAAAACTGCATAGAGAACTAAATACAAAACAGAGCGATGAGAATCATGTGTTAAGCTACAACATTGAGAGGATAGTTTTCATAATCAAGAAGATCAAGCAAGCGATAAAGCAAGTGATAAAACAAGTGATAAACCAAGTGCGCGGAGCACATCCGAACGAACACCAAATGAAGCTTCTCATGGTCGGAGTCGTCGTTGCCATCTGGCGCAGCTGCCACCCTGAGTCACTCGGTCGCGCTGTTTTTAATAGCCTGAAGTAAAGTTTGCAAGTATGAGAGTATGGTATCTTGCAAACCTCGAATATTTACTTGTTTTTCTCTTGTTGTCGCTTGGCGACACTCTTTTTATACTAATTGCCCTTTAGGATGAGGACTGGCTGGCCTCTTGACTCTTTCTGATTTTTCTATTTAGTGTTCTTCCTTGAAGCACCTTGTGTGTATTTATAAATAAATAAAAATAAAATGAATAATGATTTTACAAGCGAACTATATGTACTCTTGTAAACTTCACTCTGAGCGACATAAGAAAGCACGACCTTTACTCCAAAAGAAAACAAAAGTCATCTGGGGCCAAATCGGACTGTTGATTAATGAAGTAAATATAGTGAGTCATATCTCAAAAGCAATCCAACAAAAAAGAAAAATTGAGTTCTATAGCTTATATGTGCTACATAATTTTGTGTGAATCTCATAGAAATATGGACAACGTTTTTTTTCAAGTAAACTCTTTTACACTAGGGATGAGATTCAAAAGCTTAAAAAACTGCTAAAGTTCAGAAAACGATAAACTTGAATCTTGCACAGAGTCGTGCACGAAAATACTGATTTATATCTTTGATGAGTGACTTTGAACTCCGGCGACGCTGTCAGTGCTCCTGAAAGTGGTAGATCAGTTTCTCATCAGCGTGTATCCCTAATACGTTGGGCTTGGGAAAAGAAATGTTCATTTTCGTACATAATTTTGTTATGAAGGTAAATTAGCTACCTCTTTTGGCACTCTATACAAAGCACTACCCCTTTGCTCACCTTAAAAATCTCGCTTCAAGAGACATCCAAACTTTTGATTTAGAAGCCAATTAAAATCTCGTATTTTCCATTTTTGTTCATGGTGGCTGTACTTTCACCAACTATCACTCAAAGCAAAGAAGACAAATCAAACTCAAATCGCTCTTATGGAATCCACGAGGTTCAAGCTATCGAACCATACAAATACTACTCGCTAAAAATGTTTTTCAAGGTAAGTTGATGTGGTGTGGCACAACCCCATTAGCCATGTCAAAATAATTTTTTTAGCGAACATTGTTAATAAGAATCCATAGCCTAACCTCGTAGATCCCCTAGAAGTGATTTTAGCCAGATTCGCCCTCTATGTTCTGAGTGATAGTTGGTAAAAGTGCAGCCAACATAAGCGAAAAATGGGAAAAACAAGGTTTTGATTGGCTTCTCCACAATTTGAAGGTCTTTTGGATCGGGTTTCCTGACAAGGGAACCGTGTCGAGTCGAAGTGGCCTTTCCAAATGAGATCCACACTGCTTTGAAGAGCATTAATCGGTGATTCCAAATTTGCTTTTCAAATCTGCCAAGCGCCTCTGGACGCCGAGTTATGCTCGTTTTTTAGGTCAAAAAATTGAACGCAAAACTGAAGCAAAATCGCCCAAATTTGCTCAAATTGTCCAGTATCAAGTATCAGAGCTGTTTATGCAATGGATACATTCTATTTGATATGCTAATACTTAACATTGCTTTATCTGAGCGCTGGAAAGATTGTAACAATCAATTTTACCCAAATTCTGCATTCATTTTTCGTTCCGAAGAACGGTCATAACTCGGCGTCCAGAGGCGCTTGGCAGATTTGGAAGGCAGATTTGGAATCAACGCTTAATACTCTTCAAAGCAGTATGGGTCTCATCTGGAAAGGCCACTTCGACTCGACACGGTTTCCTTGTGAGTAGGATAAAAGAGAGGTAGTGCTTTGTATTGAGTGCTAAAAGAGGTAGCAAACTCACCTTCAAATCAGAGTTGATTATGTACGAAAATGAACATTTCATTTAGGTAGTCAAGTATTTGGAAATTTCAGAACTCCTAAACTTGGTTTACAGGGACATTGACATGGTAATTAACCATGTACTCGTAATGCTTTGGAGGGCCTAAGTTATGCCTATCCCAGGTATGCAGTAGTCTCAGGGGGGCGTGGGTCTTTCTGAGACAACAAATGGCGGGGGGGGGGGGGGAGGGTCGTATCTAGGGATCGTGTGCCATACCTCCAGTTTGATCCTGATGTTCATTCATTCGTGGCTTTTCCACAAAAAATAACACCCTTCACTTGAATTTCAGCACGAACAACTTGTTTTCTCATTCCTCTTTAGTGTAATGAGAAACCGCATGACTGATGACAGATTCGATGTTTGTACCAGATGTCTATAGGGGCCTGCAGGATCGCGAGAGTCGGACGTGCGTACAGCCATTGCGCCGCGCACGTCGTATGTCACTGGGTCGTACTCGATTTAGGCTGGATAGGTGAGATTTTTTTGTTTTTCTTCTCAATTCTCGCCTTCTTTTCTTTTCAGGCGGCGAACATATGTTGGTGCAGAGGAGTTTAAGATCTAGATTAAGGTGAGGTGCAGGATTATGCTCAATACGGGCCAATATTGTGGACTTTTCACCCCTGCTTTGAAGAATGTTGAGTTTTCTGTTCTGGCTGTCCGATTATGTTCGATTTTTCGTCCTGCCTGCCCGGTTACGAAACTCCGTTTTATTTGCAACGTCTGTTCTACCTCATCTTGCATCATGCGCGTCATCACAATCATAATCATTGTCATCATCATCATCATCATCACAAGCAATATGCAAGATAAGGTAGAATAGACGGTAGAAATAGAACAGTTTGCTGTAACAAGGCAGCCAGGACAGAAAATCCAACATCTCAACCAGCAGGCATGGAAGGTCTGCAATATTGAGTCCGTATTGAGCATAATCCTGCACCTCACCTTAATTCAGATCTTAAACTCCTCCGCACCAACATGTGCTCACCGTCTGGAAAGAAAAGAAGGCGTGAAATGTAAAGAAAAACAAAAAAAACTTACCTATCTAGCCTTAATCGACTACGACCCAGCGATATTAGGCGTGCGCGGCGCAAAGGCCGTACGCGCGTCCGACTCTCGCGATCCTGCAGGCCCCTATACATTCGTCAGTAATTATGTATATGAAAAACTTCTGCGACAGCGTTCAAAGCTCAGCAGCATCAACAAGCTTTGAGCGGTTTGTGGATTCAACGCGCTAACCGATAAAGCCTCAGCTGATTTTCGAAAAAATCTTGTAGCGTATATAAGAGGTGTGCACGGAGTAGGAGGCAAGTATACGCTCATTTGCTTAGTTCTTCTTCTTATTTCGATTCTTCTGGTAACCGATGCCGTTAGGATGGAGATTTAGCTTTTCAACATTAACTTAAGCTAGAGCCGCGCAGTTGGGAGTCGTCACGGGGATAAATGAGCGTGCTGATTACGCAATAGTTCTCGAAATTACATTCACTTTTGTCAACTTCATCTATTTTTTGGAAAGTTTGAGCTACAGGGCTGGGAGCTGGCACAGGGGAGTAAATGGGCATGCTAATTTCGAAAACAAAGCGGAGATAGGGAATTTTCATGCAGCGGGCACAGGGGAAGGTTGTACAGTAATAGGGGCAGACCTTTATATAGTCTTCTTTACACGACCTCTTTTTTCATAACCGAACTGACCCCTTTTGTGTATATGCCCGACAGCTCCTCTTGGCTCAATTATAGCCGAGCTAATGAAATGAAGGCGATAATCCTGCTTCAAGCGCGCGGTGACCGCATTACACACATGTTGCAACTTCGCTTCAGGTGCCACCTCGTTCCTGCACTAAACTTAAAGGCAGTGTCCGTGCAACAAGTGATTTCTGAGGTTTTGTTTTCCTTGGGCTTATTTGCTAGAGATATATGCAGCGCAAATTGGTTCTAAGGAATGAATCAAATGTGAAAGACTAGGACCCACTGGCACCTTTTTTAGGTGACTCCAAATCGACTGCGTAAAAGGTAATCTTGTAAGCAGCACCACTTCATATTCGACAATCCAGCAGTGTTTTGAAGCAATAGCTGGTAGTTTAATCGATCTAAACGAAATTTCTGCGTTTCATTAGCATTCACAATTAGCTGGCTGATTATATAATTTGCTCCAAATAAGATGCGCACGCCAGGCTTTGTTCAGTAGTTCTGAATTACTGAGGACACTGTCGAAAACTGCCTTTAACTCAAACAAATTTGCTGAGTACATCAAATCTCTTTACTCAGCAATCTATTGTGATTCGAAGTCACTTAGTGATGAGCGTTCGCCAATGCTCAAAGCCATAAGTTCGCGACATTTAATCTCATTGTGATCGGTATTCAGCGAATTCCATTTTCGATATCTTAGCTTCTGTTGGGTGCACGCTATGATGTACGAAGTCTGAAGGATTCAAGATCTTGCGTGTTTTTTGCTGCAGTAAAAAAATATTATTCAAAGAAGTATTGTAAGCCTTCCAGTAAAGAAGTAATGCGAGCCTTTCCGTATACTGCTTTTTTCCTGCCGCATTCGTCAGATGTATTTATTGTCCAGTATATTTAAGAACACGGTCTAGACTTTAGTGAGAGGAGCTCCACAATGATTATCCTTCTCTTCTGCATATTCGCTTTACTGTTATCGCCAGTTGCGACGAGTAGCATTGTTGATGAAAGGTATGAGTAAGACAATACCATTGTCTTTGCTTTTCTTATTTTTTTCGCTGCTATGTTTTTTAGTCGAGAAAGGCGACAAGCAGGATTTGGAATGACAGGAGCAGGTGGACAAGGACAACGACCGCCACCACCGCCACCTGGACAGGGCATGCGACCGGGACAGCAATGGGGAATGGGACCGCAATGGTCTGGACAGGGCATGCGACCGGGACAGCAATGGGGACAAGGAATGGGACCGGGGCAGCAGTGGTTAGGACAAGGCATGGGATATGGAGGAATGAGATCTGGAATGGGTTGGGGATAAAGAACGCAAAAGCTTTGTACTTTGTGCGATAGCTTCGGCACGGCAATAAACCTTTCGCTAGCTTGCCGATTGACCTGATTCTGCAAGAGATCCTCCCTCATCATGAAGCCGTAAATCAAGGAAATACTGTTTATTATTCTATTAACGATAGCTACCGTGATGTGCTTTGTCGTAAGCATCACTATGCCATGACACAACCCATTTCCCTGCCTTCAGTCTGCGTGAACGCAATGTAGGGATAGAAAGAACAAAGTCTATATCCTCTATCCTCCCTAAAATCTACTTTTTCCATCTCAGATAGGCCCGTAGTAAACCCCCCATCCGGGCATCTCACTCGACGCGGACCGGGGGCGAGCTCATCGCGCCTCAGTCCAGCATCCAGTGAGCTATTGATTTGGATGTGGATCGCTTCCTAGACATGGTAACTACATGTGTTCTCAAAAAACCAACCACTTGAGCTGGTCTGGTCAAACGGATAAGCGATTGGAATCACACGCGCGCGGTCGTGGTTCGACACCGGCTAGCGCCACAACTTTTGCTGCATCGCCGGACAATCTTTGATAGCGGCCACTGTCGAAAAAAATCGATGATGACCGCTAACAAGGATATCACTTAGCAAATGGACAGATAAAACAAAACTGACATATTTTGACGGAGAATTCATGAAAAACTGGAATTTTTGGAACATAAATAAAACTTAATAAATAAGTAGATTCTCTTCTAAAGTAGTTTTTACAAGAAACTAAGATTGCTCCGTAAAAAAAAGAAGAAAACTTTTATCCTTGCTTTTGTCGCCAAAATCAGCTGTTCATCGATCCTTCCCTTTTCGGGCGCCGGTATTGTGCAGTTTTGAGCCGATTTTGTCTGCATTTTTTGGCAAAGTTGTGTGTATCGTAAGTTACTCAGGAGCAACTTATGTTAGATGCAGTCACCTCTTGTCTGCGTCTCCTCTTCTACACACTATTTGGATCACTCTAACATCCGTTCACGTTGAGGTGACTTGAACGTGAACTGATGTGGAAGAGTTGACTGCGGCAGGTGGACAGATCGTCAACTATCAGTTGACTTGACCATCTTATAGCATGGTAGGGTGGGCGGTCATCAGTTCACCTCACGGGCGGTGAACTGATGGGTTGAGTTGAGTTCACCTCAACTGATCGAGCTTTACTACGGGCCATAATCGCCGGGTGCAGGCGGTCATGCGATTTATGGGCGGGCGGGCACCGGAAAAATAGTTCGCTGATTTCTTCGGTCCGCTTGCAGACATTTGAAAGAATTTTAGCGAAATTTTAGACAATGCTTGGAGAACAATCGCGGTTTTCTTATACAGGGTGTCCCAAAAAAATGTGAACACTGTTTGATCGTTAATAACTCTCTTGCTTTCATGTCTTTCACCGAGCTTTAGGCATCATTCTGTAGAGCGAGGTTCAACTTAGATTTATAGTATAGAGCGAATCATTGATCGCTCTTCGTTACTGTAGGATTACGGTATGAACTTTCAGCATGTGGACCCATTGTGAAATATGCCTTTTGACAGAATTTTTTTCAAAAAATCTGAAAAATCGTGTACTAGGGTCTTCGAGCACGCTGATTCCACTACACAACTTTTTACGAGTGTTTTTAGCTTTTTTGTCCGTGTAATCGCGTTTCTCATACATGCTGGAAATTCGGTTGTTACGGTCTACCTGGGATAACCTTGGAAAGAAGCATCACAGTAAAGTGAAAATTTCATATTCGAAATCAGCAGCTGCCATTACCGTAGTATAAGAGTTTTTGGCTTGTTTAGTTTTGTTCTGAGGCTGAATATGGCCTCCAATGGCCTAAAATCCTTGTCGAAGTTCCTACCTAATCCTACGTAACGAAGAACGATAGATGATTCGCTCCATGCCAAAACTAAGTTGAACCTCGCTCTACAGAACGATGCCTCAAGCTCGGCGAAAGACATGAAAACAAGGAAGTTATTAACGATCAAACAGTGTTCACATTTTTTTGGGACACCTTGTAGATCAGCTGCGGCGCAGTGGCCGCATTCTCGCGGACTTTCCGCGAGAATATGCAAGGTTTTTGGGGGCCGCACGCTCCTTTGTGGAGGACCGCGCAGCTTCCAGGTACTTTCCGCTTGGAGAAAGTACCTCAAACTTCAGTAATTGAACCATCGATGACACCCCTGTCATGTAGAGTCTTACCTTTGCTCGGCATACGCCCATACGTGTGCAAAGGGGGAACATGGTCTTTCCAGGGTGAAGGGGGTCATAGGGGTCCCGCCTCTCCAGGGTGAAGGGGGTAAAGGGGGTATGAGGGCCGCTGGGGGGGGGGGGGGGAGCGGCCGCGGCTGTGGAGATGCGTCGACCGGGGGGGGGGGGCAATGTTCGTCATCATTGCTTCTCATGTTCTTTTCATTCACATGCATCAAGTGAAATTGTAGCCAAACCGGGTTAAAGTCGAATATTGGGTTTTATCCGCTGAAAATCGAAGAAGAAAAACTGGAATAAGTGAGACTAAGAAATCAACATTCTAAGCAAAATTATAGAACTATCGGCATCAGTAAAATCAAATTTAGTGACATGTTGATTCTGAATATTATTATTATGATTGTCAAAACTTACTTGCAGGCTCACTGAGAAGTACATCGGAAATTTGCCGCCTATTGTCCACTTCTAGAGAACGATGAAAAAGACTGGAGAAAAATTTACGTGTGAAGCCTTTGTGTATATACGCCAATGAAGTTATTACTCGCGTATTTGCTGAAATAATAAGTGAAATAATAAATGAACTTTGACGATCGGTGCGCAGTTGAATTGCATTCTTTTTAAGAGGTATAAATTTTCTAAGCAGATGGCGGAATCCGTGTAAAGTCATTGAATGATTCCTTGAAGAGTCATTGTTCCAACTTTTAATATCATTTCTAAACTCCGAAAGAGATCGTAACATTTGCGTAGAGAAACAGGTGCAACAGAAGCACCTATTACATCCAAGACTTTGTGTAATCAGAGTTAGTCTTACTGTCAAAATGCTATAGCTACGAGGATCGTGGAGTTCTACAATCCGCCTACTTGGACGATGATAAGGACGAGGAAGGACAGGCAGAGATGCATTTTTCTACGTTGGAGCACTATACAAGAGGAGAAGGACAATCATATATGATCATTGCGTGATTATTCTGAAAAAAATATTGTTTTCTGTCGAAGAAGATTGAGAAATATAAAAGATCTTAGGAGGAAAACTCAGTCATAAATAGCCTAGTCTAGTGTAGAAGTCTACTTTCCATCCGCTTTCATAAAACATACAGCTTGCCAGGAGAAAGAGGGATTTAATCCTGCCAGGAAGAGACAGTTTTAGTCATTGTTTCAAAATTGTAGAATTTTTCTATAAAAAATGGTAACTTTTTCATATAAGAAGATAGGAGAGTCTCTAACCATAAATTGAATTACTCTTGTTGAGAGCTTTCAGAAAATATATAGTTTGCCAGGATAGAAAGGATTTTCCTGCAAGGTGAAGGTGATCATATTTGTTTTTCTAAAATCAAGGAAATTTTTTTATAAACATTTATAACTTTACCATATGAAAAGCTAGAAGAGTCCTTTACACTCTGTTGGAATCCCCTCGCCGTCTGCTTTCAGAAAATATACAGCTTGCCAGGAAAAAAGAAGGTTTTCCTATCGGGTGAAAGGGGTCGTAGTCGTTTTTCCGGAATTAAGCCATTTTTTAGCTTTAAAAAATTATAACAATTTTATATGAAAAGCTGGAAGAGTGTTTAGGTGTTAGATGAATTCCACTCGTCGTCGGGGGGGGGGGGGGGGGAAACATGCTATAATGGAAATTTTCCTTTCTGTACTCAAAAAGCGTCGTTTTAAGGAGCTAAAGGAACATGCCCATTATACCATGTTCCCCCCCTTTCACCACGTACTTTTTGCATCCGTCTCCCAACAACCTATATATTTTCCGAAAGCGGACGACGAGTGGAATTCATCTAACACCTAAACACTCTTCCAGCTTTTCATATAAAATTGTTATAATTTTTTAAAGCTAAAAAATGGCTTAATTCCGGAAAAACGACTACGACCCCTTTCACCCGATAGGAAAACCTTCTTTTTTCCTGGCAAGCTGTATATTTTCTGAAAGCTGACGGCGAGGGGATTCCAACAGAGTGTAAAGGACTCTTCTAGCTTTTCATATGGTAAAGTTATAAATGTTTATAAAAAAATTTCCTTGATTTTAGAAAAACAAATATGATCACCTTCACCTTGCAGGAAAATCCTTTCTATCCTGGCAAACTATATATTTTCTGAAAGCTCTCAACAAGAGTAATTCAATGTATGGTTAGAGACTCTCCTATCTTCTTATATGAAAAAGTTACCATTTTTTATAGAAAAATTCTACAATTTTGAAACAATGACTAAAACTGTCTCTTCCTGGCAGGATTAAATCCCTCTTTCTCCTGGCAAGCTGTATGTTTTATGAAAGCGGATGGAAAGTAGACTTCTACACTAGACTAGGCTATTTATGACTGAGTTTTCCTCCTAAGATCTTTTATATTTCTCAATCTTCTTCGACAGAAAACAATATTTTTTTCAGAATAATCACGCAATGATCATATATGATTGTCCTTCTCCTCTTGTATAGTGCTCCAACGTAGAAAAATGCATCTCTGCCTGTCCTTCCTCGTCCTTATCATCGTCCAAGTAGGCGGATTGTAGAACTCCACGATCCTCGTAGCTATAGCATTTTGACAGTAAGACTAACTCTGATTACACAAAGTCTTGGATGTAATAGGTGCTTCTGTTGCACCTGTTTCTCTACGCAAATGTTACGATCTCTTTCGGAGTTTAGAAATGATATTAAAAGTTGGAACAATGACTCTTCAAGGAATCATTCAATGACTTTACACGGATTCCGCCATCTGCTTAGAAAATTTATACCTCTTAAAAAGAATGCAATTCAACTGCGCACCGATCGTCAAAGTTCATTTATTATTTCACTTATTATTTCAGCAAATACATGAGCAATAACTTCATTGACATATATACACAAAGGCTTCACACGTAAATTTTTCTCCAGGCTTTTTCGTCTTTCCAAAAGTGAACAATAGGCGGCGAGCTTCCGACGTACTTATCAGTGAACCTGCAAATAGGTTTTTGATGATCATATTAATGATATTATGAATTAAAATATTACTAAATTTGATTTTAATAATGTGGATAGTTTTATAATTTTGCTTAAAATGTTAATTTCTTAGTCTCACTTTTTCCAGTTCCTCATCGGCCGTGGGTGAAGGGGGGTCAGCTGGGTTCCGGCCCTGGGGTGAAGGGGGTAGGAACACATTATCGCCTTTTCACATGTATGCATACGCCCGTAACTGCTTAAAAACCGTCCGAGCGCCGGCTGAAAATTTGACCAGCGCTCGCTGAAAGAGATTATTTGACTAGCGCCTGCAGAAAATTCTGTGTTGCTGCCCGCTGGCAGAACATTAGACAGTAAAGGAAATACCGCTCGCTGAAGGTTTGGCCACGCCCCAAAATTTCTGCTGACCGCTTGCAGAAAAGCGCGAGTTTGCGGACCGCCTGCCCCCGGCGATCTGAGATAATTGAAATCAAAAATAGCTTGCAGCTTTGCACTAAAGTGTGACTATACTTTTGATTAGATCGTAGTCTCAGTCGATGAAGACAGCTAACGATCTCATCATAGTCAGTTATAGCTGTTTGAAACACTACAAATGAAACAATAACAAAGCTCAAACAACTTCCAAAGAGCTGTTCTTCAAACTACCTCATTTGAGGATTCGGGACTTACTGCAACAATCGAAAAAATCCTTGGTGCTATATGAAAGAGCATAGCCGAAAATTCTGCAAATTCATTGCAATATATGTGCTGGTTGTCGCAAAACTTCTGTGGACAGTTGCGTTTTTCTCAAACAATAAGCTCGGCTTTTGCGTCCGCAAAGTTTCGTGATGATGCAAGCACATAGTATGTATAAGTTCCAAAGTGTATGTTTAGCCAGAGAGAATATGCAACGTTGAGCATCCAGACATGCATGATCATTTCACGAAAGTGATGTGTACGCTAGCGACATCATATTTTTCCTTGTTTTCCAGCTCGGAAGCCTTAAGAATAGCTTTGCAAAAAAAAACACAAAAACTTTAATTGAATACACCATCATACAAGAAATGCACTTGCCTGTCAGGCGAATCTTCGGATTTTTTTCAAAATTTGAGATTTGTTTATTGAATATCAAAGTTCAGCACCGATAATGCTCAACTATGATCAAAATTTGGATTTAGATGTTCTCGTAATCTTATCAAAACAAGACCAAAGTTCAGGGGTTTTTAAAGTCGCTTTTCCGATAATGGGATTCATTTTTTGAACTTTTCAAAGAAAAAAAGGACTCACAAAAACCGAACTATTTCTCTAGAGAAGAAATGCCAAATGCGATATTGCGTATGTGATTCCATACTAGTTTTTTTTCTTGAATTTAGTTTTAAGAGTATGTCAATGTACAGTACTGGTAATGACCCAACCAAATATTTCTTCGAATACCACAGATCATGTGGTCATTGCTGCCCCAGTGCGAGAAAACTTAATAGTAGATCTAGAAAGCTCGGAATGGTGTCGGATAGTGAGAAAAACATCTTCATTATTTTGAAAACAACCAAATTCAAGTTTTTGCTACGGATATATTAGGTTGTCTCATCATTAATGCACGTTTTTCTAACCTCTTTTTAAGAAAGCTGGTTTTCAAAGAGGATACATTCTTCCTCAAAACCCTTAATAGTGTCAGAAAGCCCGATTCCTCTGGTTTCTAAAGTGTCCTTTCGTTTTCGCAAATCTTTGTTGAAGCCGAAGTTCCATGCCTTTTAAGACAGTGATTAAATGTCGAAATCCTTTCCCTTCACTCTCCTTGCCCAAATCCATGAGCAGACAAATTTTCTTGAAAAAGTATACGTAACAATCGCGAAGCTTTTGCTACAAAATGCTTGTCAGTATGAGATTTTGAGGAACTCGGAGCTGAGAAATCTTGTCCCAATCTTGGCTGATCGCTGAGGCCCATCTAAGCCGCATAAAAATCTCAAGCGAAAAGCGACTGTATAAATTTCGCTATGTGCACGTAGAGTAAACCTCGTACAACTAATACTAGAAAAACGGCAGAATTTCATCGTCTTTTCGTGGAAAAAAATTTAAAAAATCCCAAAAAGGAAGTTTTTTGGAACTTTTCAAAATACTGGAAAAAATGGGTACTTTCAGTTTTTTTTGCAAAATTTTCTCACAGAAATATGCTGTAAAATTCAAACTTCACTCTATTGCACAATCGACCATCGGCTATTTAATGAGCAAAGTACGCGCGATCCTAGTACATTTGAGCGAAAGTTAAGTTCTCTCAAAGTATAGGTTTCTAAAAAATGTTCGAGAATTTTTTAGGCTATGCAATCTTTCTCAAAGTGGCTGCGATCCAACAAAAGCATGCGTTCTAGTCAAAGGTTTGTTGTTTGCAGTGATTTCTATTGCACTCAAAAAGATGGTTTGGGGAAAGAGTTGTCTTGACTAGAACTTGAAATTCATAAAACGTGCATTGATTATGAGACAACCTAATATTTTCTTAATAGTTCATCAATTTTCGAAAACGCATAAGCTTGGATTTTGGTCTTGTTCCAAAAAGGAAACTTTTGCTACCCAACTCTGATCTCGGTTGGGCGATATCGGTGCTGAACATTGACTTTGCAAAAGCTATCTTAGTGCTGGAAGGAACATCCTCGAAATCCCTTGAATCGAGATTAGGTCTTGAGTAGAACAAGTTTGCTACTGAACATCGATTTTGAGACTTTCTTCGAGATCCCGGTTTCAGCATTTGGAGCAAACTGGATAATGGGCGAGGCTTGCAAAGTATCTAACGGTCCAAATGTGCCTGGCGAGCATATGACTTGTGTGCGAGAATATGGCTTGGGTGAGAAACTTCTCTCATCCCTTCCTTATGAAGCTACATGAACAAATTTCGAGATGACACTGCACCAGCCCCAGGGCAACTAAAGAAAGGGGCAATCTCCGCAGATAGTCTGAACTATTTTTTTATTCAAGCGTTTCATATTTAGCACTTCATATTGTTTATATCAGCACAGTACATTTTTGCTTCAAAGACTCCAATCAGTTTGTACTATAGCAAGATAATATAAGTTTTTTGATAAAACTCTTTGACGCCCGCGAAGATCCTGTGTTCTTGTTTCCTTATTCTAGACTTAGCAAACGTTTGAGATTTGAAACTCTATATGAAAGACAAGCATTCACCTCCACTGTTCGCTCCAATCGGAATTTTCGCCTCTGTCTCGACTCCCATCATTAAGGATAACCGTAATCAGCGAAAAGAATAATTGCATAGTTATTTTGAAAGTGTCCTATGATAGACAGTCAAATACGGATGCTCTCGACATCTTAAAGGTTTATATGGAATCGTACATCTGTGTTTAGCTCAACAACATACAGCTCACTTCGATGGTGACATCACCTTTGACCATCTCAGTCTCCTTTCGTTGCATCATCACGGTGAATTCACTATTTCGCTTACCAACAATGTACACAAAAGATGAATATGACCAGACCACCGATTCCAGCTATCTTCGCTACCCTTCTCGTATGCATTTCGGCAAGTGACATAACCAGAATTGCTCCTGTGCAAGCTGATACGAGTCTTGTCTGTATTCGCTCCTATCAGGTAATTTCACAGTAGAACAAAGCGAGATTATCCAATCAAGATGGGATCAGCGTTTGCAGAAGGAATGCATGATGGGCTGCCTTTCTCAACAGGTTTCCCGTAAGGGTTATTTCATACTGCCGCACTGACTGCAGCAGACTGCAGCAGACTGCAGCAGACTTCACTGACCGCAACGGCCTCACAATCGCTGCAAGCTTTCGTAAAGGAGAAAACAACTGCGATTATGTCAAAACACTGTGATTTACGCCTAGAATGTTCATAGGTTCTCACTTACTCTTCTCAGTCAAATTTTGGGATTGTTTTTCTTCAATATACTCATATTTGTTCAGATTCCTTTTGTCACTGCATATACCTATTTTTACTCCCGCTCGCGTTATCTATATTATTGGGGCGTATATTGTTAAGCTCGCTATTAAGGCGTATATTGTTGAGCTGTTTAAGCTACAACTATTTATCCTTTCCACCTTCACGAAAAGATGTAGCGATCTGTGCGGCCCCGCGGTCAATGCGGTCAGCTGCAGTCTGCTGCCGTCACTGCGGCAGTCTGAAACAACTTTAAGGTATAGTAGCCTAGATTAATGCAGAAAAATCCTGTTTTGATTTTCAAGGATGTCACAAACACTCTGCGTGGGTATCGAGTTCTGCCGGACCGTTCGATTTTTGTTGTGCCATTGCTATGCACTCGGGTCGCACAAAGCCGAGCGATCTGCCAGCCAACACCGGCTGAGAGTCAGGCAATGGAAGCATTTTGTTTTATCCATTCTTCTTGCCATTAGTTACTTTATGAGTTCTAAGTAAAAGGAGTGAAATCGAAAAACATTTTTACACTTTCGACATGAAAAGGCACAAATTCAAACTACTTATCTCTGAATGCACTAAGGGATACTCAACGGCAACCGCCCCGACACGTGCATTCACAATACGCCGCACGCGCATTTTTGGATCATTTGCTTTACAGTATGCTGCAGCGTCCGAAGAATCTGCACCGCGCAGCATCTCCTATAAATCTCTCCATCTCCTTTCCGTTAACTTTGCCTAAGGCGATACTTCACAATCTTCGAAAACGAGTGATATTCACTAAAAAGGAAAAGAAATTCAAGGAATGAGTCAGAACTTGTTTTTGTTGGCCTTATAGTGTTTACCGTAGAAATCACTTGATAATCTTCGATTATCAAGTGAACCTAAAAGAAAGGGAGGACGAGTAACCATCTGCGATGAAAACTAAAAAGAAGAAAGGATAACAATGCTTTGATAACACTAATTTTGTAAGAGCAAGATGCTCCAAGCTGTAGATCCCTCTCGTGCAGCAGGTAGTGTAAAGCTGGAAAAGCTCCAAAAACGCGCTCGCATTGGTGTGTACACAAGTTGGGACGCTTTTTGTTGCATATGCTTTACAAGCAATGCTAACAATAAGTATTACATGACAAACTGCTTCTGATGTAGATGAGCGTTAATAAGTAGGTGGCTGGAATATTCGGAATATTCCTTATTATCATTTCTTTTGATATATCTGTCTGAAGTTTTTCTTATATTGCAATGGAAATTATTGTTAAAAATTATTGTTAAATTAAAAAAATTTATGTACAAATAACTGTAGTTGCCATTCAGAATTTTTGGAGGTGCATGCGACTTAATAAGTCTTAAAAATGCCTTTGACTTAGAGCGATCTATTGTGGCTAACCCTGCCTAACTATCACTACGTTATCAAAATCGAGTATAATCGATCTTGATAACGGAGTGAATTGCGCGACAGTGTCATGTTTCGTCCATTGCTTCCTCGACCGATGGCTGCGGGTAGTTGTTAGTCGTATATTCTACGTAGATTTCGCGGCGCCAGACGTGTTCACTGGGAGTCTTCTCAACCATATGGATTGCGCGGTCGTTGAACTTTCTGGTTACGTCGAATTCTCTCTTGACTGTGTGTTCTCCTCGCATCTCAGCCAGTGTCAATTGCATTTTCATGTAAGGTCGATAACTTTACATAAAAGCTACATATTGGGGCCGGCCTGAAATTTGCTCTGCATTTCCATTGTGAGTCTATTTAAAATTACTAACAAGTACACTTCCTTAGGACAATAAAGACGATCCAGTGATGTCTTTGCTTCACATTGACTGGTATGTACCCCCTAAGTGGCTTGGCAATGTCAAATCTTTTTGAAATACTGGATTCAGCACAATGGCCTCAGTGTGTTATGCGCTATGCTTCCAGTAGTCAACACTGGTTTGTCGCTTTCACTAGTTATAGGTTTGTGCCCGCATATTCTTACAGGACCAGTTATAGCGTCCTAAATTTGAAATTGTGTATTGTTCGCAATAACTGTTTTATACCTCCGCTCATTCGTGGATGTCAGCTGTGTGGAAGAAGCAGCTGTCGAAGGTCGCCTTATAACATCCCCATTTTTGGTAGCCGCACCCTTGTGCACCGCATCATAAAGTGGGCTTGAGGGGATCAATCCAGTGGCGCAAGTCTCCACAACTTGTCCTTTTCGCTGCCTTAAAACTCTCACTGCTTTAGTTCATCTGTGGCTGGAGGCGCTACAGTCCGAAGTTTTTTATATAGATTGCTGGCCAGATGCCACGGTTCGAGGAACCACTTAATATCCGTGTTAAATTCGGCACTGAATTGCCGGATTTCGCTTTTATAGACCGTGAAACCGTCTGTTGAGATCGAGTTGATCTCTATACATTTAGACCTCAACCAACGAAGGTCGATGTAACCCCTCCATTTCTATTTTTTACTTACACCAGCTAAAAAATTCTTCACTCAAACGGAAAAATATCATGTTATGTATATCTTACCTGTCTCTGATCTGTGCACCAGCTCGGTATATATTCACGGATTTGTTTTCAGATCTACAGCTAAAACCTTACGAAAATCAGCACTGAAACCCCGGGAGTCGAAGGCTCCATCGACTGCTATGTCCCACCCATGCGATTGTCCTTCTCTCTGAATTATCACGATCGCATAACAAATTGCAATCCATATGCATGGACAGTGGTGGATTTTTTTAATGGTGAGGGAAGGTGGGGGGGGGGGGGGGAGTAGAGACACAAAAAATGGTGAAGAAAGGCTTGGCGCAACCATTTTTGAAAACTTATTTTTTTCACACTTTTACCTGTGATTTTCGAGTTCCCCGCCTTTCCTCCCTACATCTCTGCTCCGCTACTGATCATAATTACCTCGTATGCGTTACGTATGATTTAAATAACTTCATTTCGGTGTCTCTCATAAACCTGCGCTATTGATGACCTCAACGCTTTGAAGAACTCATAGAACGCGCTTCTGAATGGCAACGCGGTGTTTGCTTCCTCGGCCCATTTTAACAATCTCTAAAAAAAGGAATTATCTAGATTTCAAAAATCTCCAGCATGATTACGGTTATTCGCAGCCCTGTTGTGGCTGCTGCGACGCATGTCTTCGCAATCCCGGCAGTCTCTTGTTGCTTGGGCGAGAACCTACTTTTTCTTGACCGCTCCATCGTCTTTTGCGCGATTTGTCTTCCTTAGTCAAGTACGTTATGATTGGCGCCGAGCTTTCTTCTTCCAACTGGACTGTTCCTGGTTCATCATCGTTCGAGCACCCACAACGAGAAAGCCGAAACAGTTCCAATAGTCCTTTCCCTGGACTAGAAAGTATCTGTGCATGAGCTCTGGCTTTGTTGCTGCCAATCTCTGAATGTTGCATGCGTCATCGCTGTCATCCTCTGATGCTACATTTCCTGCTGAAAAAGAGCCGCCTTAAAATATGATTGAGTGAAAAAATATAGATGTCTACACATACAAATGTTGAAATATTGATATGAGTGATAGTATATTTGTAATATTGAGTTGCGCACCGTCGCTTTCAAAGTTCCCGAATTACCACGTTTGACAGAAGGTGTTGGTGCCCTCATCCAAATTAATACGCATCACAGCTGGCGGTGGTGGCTTTAGTGCTCCTTTCTTCTCTGCCATTGTCATTGCTTGGTGCATTCTCTCTTATCTGAATATCCTTGGATGAGCTCAGATTACTCTACGCGGAGAAACCTCTCTTGAGCGCGGAAGACCACGTCTGCCTGCGCTTGACGAATATTCCATTCATTTCCCCGACTATATTTTTTTTCAAATAGTCGTTCAAGTAACGACAAACATCCCTTGCATTGACCTTGATATCCACCTAATGAATACATCTTTAATTTTGAAAGTTCTGGAAAACTGCAAAGGTTGTTATGGTCGTATTCAACTCAAGCAAGAGTTGGTTAGGGATATCACCCTAGTTGATGTAGGCCACATCTTCCGTCGTTTTCGATAACTTTCCACCACTCACGATAATATCGAGAAGGCTTTGCGCCTATGTAAACGTTGCTCTTTCCGCAGTTTCAACTGTCGGAAAACTTACGTTTCTCAGATAATGAGCAACGCAAATGGTCTTTAGGCTCTGCTTGCAGTTTTCAAAGTACGCCTGGAGAAAATCCGATGCTACCGAGAAGAAATTGCTGCAAAGAAGATTGCGTTGTTCTTGCTGCTTCTGGGGACGCGTAAAGTAAGGTCTTTATCGACCTTCTTTTCACAAATGTAACAGTCGACTTATTCACCATCGCTGTCTATCTGTAGCTAAAAGGACTTTATCTCTATCAGTGTAAGCCAAAGGTAAACCTAAGGTCAACAAAATCTTTAGATCGCAGTTAGAGCGGGTGGTCAAGAATAACAAGAATAACGATAGTTATGTCACTTGGTCGCGAAAACAGTCATCAAGCAGAAATTGCCGTGTCAATTACAGTCATATATTGTCGTATATCTAGATTACTGTCATCAGCACATTTATGCTTTAAAAACCGATTCAGCACAACCTAAAAGAAAAAATAAACGTGAGAGCACTCTTAGAATGTGAAAAGAAAGAGAGCGATGCGTCGTAAACTATCGATGTGAATCCTGATGACCTCCGCGGTGACGGTAGTTGCGCATAAGTTTATCCCTTATTTATGTGAACTGAGGATGAATAAAGGAACTTCAACATGTTTTTTCTCAAAAATGATTTAGGACTCCTACATAGCGCAAACAAAATTGAGCGAAAATTCTTGAGAATTCAATAAAAACTCTAAGAAGTATAGAGATTTACGTGGAGAAATGTTAGTTTTGTTAGTTTTCGACACTCTTATAATATATCAAGCTATGCGCAGCTATAACAAAACAAAAGTGAAAACTACAATACATTTCACGAAGTGAAAAAAAAAGATGACGGCCTCTAAATGACATATTATGCTGCACACGACGCGTGCAAAATAGTGGCTAGTGCGCTTTCGTCCAAGGAGGCAGACCGTTCGAGAGAACGGCCCGCCTCCTTGAACGAACACTCCTCAGGCCTTCACGTGTTTTTACGTGGCAAACACAATCGAACATATAGTGTCTACAGTCGAGTAGATTTCCTGCTTAATATAGTGTCCCTGCAGACGCGACAACGCTTATGCGTCAACAAATGCCATTGCGATTTGCCGAGTGATTGTTTTCCATCGTTTTCTTTCTTTATTCTTTGCTTTTTAGGTAAGTCTTTGCTGATAAAGGAGAAAAAGGTAAGTTAGAGATTAGTTTCTGTTTTTTGAGCAGTTATGATATCGCTTAGTCCCGATTATCCTATCTATCTATCTGGAAGGTCGTCGTGTCAGTTTCACGTGTATTTTTCGTCATTTGCTTTTCTTTCGTCATTAATTGCCTCTTTGAGTCTCATGGTATTTTCTTTGAATGCTAGTAGACTTGCGCTGCAGCAATTTCGGCACTTGTTCAAAAGGAAGTAGGTTCTAGTCGAGTAGTTCGTTTTTAAAGGTGATAGTTCAAACGTAAAAGCCTACTAACCTTTAAAGAAATGCTTTAAAGAGGAAAAAGGGGTAAAGTTACAAGAAAACACACGTGCAACTGACACGACGACCTTCCTCGAAGATACTCGGGAGTAAGCGAGACATACCTACTTGGAAAACAAGAAATACTCCCTGGCTTACTTTTTTCTCCTTTATCGGCAACGAATTACCCAAAAAGCAAAGAATAAGCGGAAAACCAGTTAAAAAACACAGGAAAGAACTCGCAATGGCAATTTCCGACGCACAAGCGTTGTCGCGTCTGCAGGGGCACTATATTAAGCAAAAAATCTACTCGACTGTACCTGTTAATACTTGTTTCGACAAAAATAGCATTAGCGGCGTCCACGGTTGTTACAAAGTTGTCTTGTATGTGGGGTTTTTCGAGGAATTCACGCATTTTGAGTGCCATATCTGGAATCAGCGCCATGAAAAGGCCTGGACAACACAAAAAAATAGAAGTCGAGATTCTGCCTAGACCCTGCCTTCAACCAACAGCTCATAAAAGCCGCAGATCTCTTAAGGCAAAGATCGGTCACTGACAGTAGCGCATTCTAATCCAATGTATGGAAATTCTACGATCATTACGAAAAGGCTGAAATAAAGCAAACGGGGTGGAGGACTATATGTCGCCGAACGTGGGAGGGTCCCGCGCGGAATTTCTGCAGGAACAATTCTCCGTGCATGTGCAAGGGTACGCATTTGTCGCAAGTAACCGCGGGGCCCGCTCCTTTTCGGCGACATATAGTCCTCTACCCAAGCAAACGTCTACCCGGTTTTGGTTGCAATTTTGAGGGAGAAGGAGAACTCAGATAGAGAAGTCAAGATTCCGGCCGTGTATGCCTCGCAACAGCCCTTTCAGGCTGAGGAAGTGGTTTGGGCACGCACTTCTCACTACCTTCAGCCTTATTCCATTTTCCCCCTTAGATCCATCTGCGTTTAAGCGATGCAACAACCAGAGTTTACTGGACCCTTGATTGTACGCGCTCCAGAAACCAAGGAATTTCAGAGGAGGTGCTATAGCTAATTGATCGCCTTCTCTCTTCAAAATATACTAGGTTGTTCGAAAGTTCTGTCCGATTTTTAGTTGCCTTGTTTTAATGCAACTAGTTTTTTAGAGTTTTATATTTGTTGCAGAAATATGTATCGTCTAAAGGTACTTTTCTTGTTCTTTATAGTGCTCATGCTTGACAAAACATATTCTTAGTGAGAGCCCAAGCCCCGAAGCTGCCAAAATGCAGTCATGCTCAAGAAGAAGTTTCTATGAAGAAGTTTCCCGCAGTACTCGTAAAATTAAATATGTAATTAATAGGTCAGAGTGTAATGGGCTAACATACGCACACTTTACCTCCAACAAAGCGAGCGTCTTACTTTTTCAATTCTTTTCAAAAGTGGAAGACGAACTCAAACATCATTCAAAAAGTAGCATCAATCTACTAAAGCGAATGGCCGTGCATTATTGCATATGAAAGGGTAAAGCGAGGGCAAGCGGGGACCATCGGCCGGTTAGTTTTCTTCGTTCGCGATAGCAAGAAAAAATCAAATATTAGAAAGTCGACCTATTTGTGCGCGCGGAGGAGGGCTAGTGGATTTTTTGATTTGCTCGTGAAAATTTTTTTGAGGCAAAGATTGCTTGAATTTTTACCCGTAAACGAATCTGAAGTATAGGCTACTCAATGGTGGTAGCCAAGTATGCCGCGTATCCTTTTATGGAAGCATTAGTACCAAAATGGGAGGTTTCGAAGGAAACTCTGCAAAATCCCCCAGATTTTCTCTTCTCTCGCTTGCTTTGTTTACATGTCATACAGTACTTTTGTTTGATATAACCCGCTTAATCCAAAAAACTTGATTTGTGCAAAAATGTTGCTTTTGAAGAGGGTTATAACATTTTTAATCGAAAAACATGCGAATCGGACAGAACTTTCGGAACAACCTAATATTGCACAAGCCTTAAAATACGAACAAGGCAGGACGAAAATGCTGAGATTACTACTTTCCTTCTTGAAAAGTTTCTAAGGAGATTAGGCTTAAGTATAAAAACGCAGCTAAGGTTCTTTCTTTAATTCCAATGTGGATTCCAAGCTTTTTCCAAATTGCATGCGGTTCACGTTCAAGTCCACGAATTCCGCCCATCTTTTGGTTTTCCGATGGAAGACGGATACGAAAAGTCTTTGATAAAATAAGTACGGGCACGTGGCTAAGGTTCTTCACTTCCAAAATGGGTTTCAGGCTTTCAACTTGTATGCTGGCCAATCATGTTTAAGTCCAAAAAAGTTTAACTCATCTTTTGGCTTTTTCTTTGGAAAAAGATGTATAAGTCCTCAAGCTACTATACGGCTTCACCACTGCCCCAAGCTTTCCCGGGATTACGTGTCTTCTTTTTGAACTAATAAGCCGCGGGACTCTTTGTTGTTGTTTACCTAGACGAGCTTATTGGGCTAGTTGCGCCCGTTGCAAAAAATCAAACTCGATGAATAACGAACATTTCTGAGATTTGGGGGGGGGCTATAATTTATTTCGCTTCCCTTTACTCTACCCCTTTGAACCGTCTGTTTCGTTTATAAAATTAAAGAATAGATTTGAAAGTAAGTATTGAATTGCCTAGAAGAAAATCCCGTTTTCCCTACAAATCTCCATGAAGTTTCTTATAGTTTTTCCATGAGTTTTTGAGTAACTGTTCTGAAGTTTCTTATGCCACTCAAGATAGTTATGCCCTAATATGACTAAATTTCCAAAATCGCAGTTCTTCAACTTTGCAAGCTTCGTTTTCATGCTGAATGAATAGAGAGATGACATAACTGGTATTTAATACATCCAGTTTTCTCTATCTAGCGAATAACAGTAAAGATTGTGATCTGCCATACTGACATGAGTAACTGTTCTGAAGTTTCTTATGCCACTCAAGATAGTTATCTTATATATAAAGCTGAATGTCTGTTTGTCTGTCTGTCTGTCTGTCTGTCTGTCTGTCTGTCTGTCTGTCTGTCTGTATGTACGTATGTTCCGAATAGAAAATTCCATTTCTGAACCGATCCGGACCAAACTTGGCACACATACACTACGGGCCCCGGCGGGTGTCATAGGCTACTTTTCTTCATCGATCGATATCGATTTTATCGATTTTTATCGATTTTTTTGCTGAGT